GGGGCTGCAGCGAACAGCAGCTCCTCCCCCGCCTCTCTGCAGTGAGTACTAGCAGACGAGCCGGCTTCCTAGCACCGGGGCCTGCACAGGCTGCCCTTCCACCCCCGGGCTGGCTAAAGTGCAGCGTCCCAAACTCTGCAGCACTGAGATAGCGTCTGTTAGGAATCTAAGGGTTGGTCTGGGGTTTTTTTCCTGACTTTTAAACCTTTATTGAACCTCTGAGCGTAGCAGTGCTCCAGGGCTTGGTCCGGGGGTGGCACAGGGCCAGGTTAGGCAGGCCAGGAACAGGTCCCGTGGAGCCTCGGCTGGGTCCTGCATGCCAGGATAGGGCCCAGTGCCACCCTCAGCCAGCCAGGATCAGGTACCCAATGTGGCAGCCAAATTTCCAGCTAAGTGGGGAGACCCATGGGCCAGATGACACAGCGCCAGGGGTCAGAGGTAGCTCGCAAACCAGAGGTTGCGCATCCGTGGTAGAGTAGTGTCTACAAGCACCTGACTCTCCCTGGCTGCGTCCACACGAGTCGCCGACTGCACAGCAGCAGTCAGTCAGTACTTGCGCAGTTCCTGTTACCGCACAGTTATTTTTAGTTGCTACTGCGCAGCAGCGTATCTGTCACAGATCGTGCCCGGGGATGCCACATTGCTGTAGCAAGGAGCTCCGGCAGCTTGTTGCTACAGCGGCATAGCAGCTCATGTAGACATGCCCGCTGAAAATCTGGGCCCTGTTTTGTAAATGAAACGTTTCTCTTGTGATCGTATGAATCCTGGAGCTGGGCCTTTGAGACAGACACTAAATATCACAAGAGAGCGACTCCGATGATCAGAGTTGGCAGCTCTGTGATGCCTTCATCCCTGTTAGCCGCCTGTCGGTATTCCCACCTTGCGCCAAACTAGAGGCTTGTTTGATTCGTTTTTCTTTTCACACTAATGTGAACAAGCTTGAAGAAATACTTTGGTACAGCCCCTAAAATACTGGTTATGCAGAGTTGTCAAGTTCAGTCATGTTTTTAAGCTTTTCTTTTCTCCTTTGTTTTTTTTAACCGCCTATCATGATGGCATCTAGGGGCAGTCACCGGTCAGTGTTGTTTTGAAGTTATGGGCAAATTGATGTCTGTCTTCACGTTAAGCGTATGTGGTGTTTTGCTCCATGCCACCTGCTGTAGGAAGTTAGGAGCCTCAAGCTATTTTCAAAGTTGTGCAACAGCTTTTGGAAACAGACTTGCTTCTTTTTTGCCTGAGTGCATCCTTCACACACAGCTTTTCAGAGAACGGCTGCAAGATGGGGAAATCAAAATCGAGCAGACAGACCTGACAACTGAAGGTGAAATCCTTCATATGCCCTGGGGGCAGGGTGTGTGCCTCAGATAAGCGAATTAATCAGCTTTAAACCTATGCTCCATCTGGAACCTAATGGTTAAGAACAGCTGCAAACTGACAGCTTCATCATTTGGATGCACTTGTACCAACAAACTCGGAGGGAGATTGTGGTGCCGATTTGCTGCAGGTATTGAGGATGGTTTATTTTTCTTAGCAAATTATTCCTCGACGAAAGGGAATCTGCAGCTTGGAAATGGGAACCTCACTCATCCCTTCATTCTAGCATGTGTGCACAGCGTTTGCCATTGGCGTCCAGTGCCTGTGGAGAGGAAGAACCATGAGCCGCTCAAGATACACGGGCAAGATCAGGAAGCGCTTGGAGGAGGTCAAGAATCAGTCAATCCGGTTGACAAAAGCAGATTTCAGCCACAACGAGAGTGTGAGATTAGCCACTGACGCTCTCTTGGATGGTGGGACTGAAGCATATCTCAAAACCTTGAGCGAAGAAGGGGAGGTGGATTTTCTATCTTCTGTGGAAGCTCAGTACATTGAGAAACATGCCAGGGAGCCATACTACGCTAACGAATCTCACACAGATGGTGAAGTTGGGCCAAGACAGAATGATGCTGGCTCTCTCCCATCAGGAACCTACTTCCCTATGATCTCTGAGAGCAGTGAGCCAGCCCTGCTTCAGCCATGGGTTACAGCCGAGAAGCCCTATCTCAAGGAGAAATCCAGCGCCACTGTGTACTTCCAGACAGACAAGAACAGCAACATCAGAGACATCATACGCCGCTGCATCACCAAGACAAGTCAGGTACAGAGAGGAGCGTCTTTCCTCTGAATCTGATTTTTCTCTCTGCTCTTAAAATCTGGGTGAATGTGGTGAGTGTGGGAAAGATCCTTATACTGTACCCTGGCAATGCTCTTCCATTAGGATTGTTTGGCCATGACACTTACTGGCTCCATACTTGAATTCTTCTTTGCTGAGATTCTCCTTCACACTAGTGTAGTGCACAGCAGCCCTGAATCTGTAATGTGAATGGGGGGAGGTAACAACAGTGCACTTTGGGTTTAGCAGAGTAGTAGGACCAAGCAAATGAGTTTTCACTTATGTCCCAGACTGAGCTAAATTCAAACCTTGCTCTCCTTTAGAAGCTAGTGCACCATCACACCTAGACTTGTATTCTTTGTCTTGAATAGAAACATACCTAAGTAACATTTAATTGCATTGGTCATTGTTCTATAGGTCTTCTACACTGAATATTACCAACACGCCTCTCCATAATAGATATCTGAAAAATGACAGTGAAAACAGGCTTACTTGACAGATCTGCTTTTTATCTGTATTCAGAGCAACACTTTCTTTCTTCACTAAGCAGCAACTGCTTTATTGTTCCTTTTGATTGCCAGAGGTCTTGCAGAGAAACACAGCTACAGAAGGGGAAGCAAGGCTCTGTTCTTTATACACCTTGGGTAGAATTGTTTACTGCATCCTCATCCATTGCACCTGTGCAACACACAGCCTTGGACAGGTATTACCAAGACCAGAATTTGAAGACAATGGGTTGCAACTGGTGACAGAAAGCTGAGTCTGCCCTGCAGAACCTTTTTATTGGCAATGATCCATGAGAAGGAAATGGCTTTTATGATGCAGTTGAGTTTGCAGGGCTGGCAGTTAGAAAAAGCATTGTTTTATTTTGAAACAGCAGTTGCTGAATCCCTAGGAATTACCTCTGAGAAGCCATGGAAGGCAGAATTCTCTGAATGCAGCAGCTGGGCTAACTAGCAGCTATCTTTAAAAAGTGTAGGAAGGTGAATGCTGGAAATGATGGACCAGTCAGCAGTAGCCTCAGTTCCTGGAGAGACACTGGGACAAATGATGAATTAATAAAGTACTTCCAGGATAACCTGAAATGGTCAATGTGGAATTGTCAAGCACAGATATCAAGCTAACCTAATTTCCTTCTTTAATAGGATAAACTGGTTTAGGAGGTAAGAGAGAAGTAATAGGTGTGGTATATCCTGAGTTTCATATGGCCCTTGTCTCAGTCCCACATGATGTTCTCATTAGCAAACTAGGGAAAATAAAGACACAGAATCAAATTACTCTATGATTCAGTTCAAAATCAAATGGGAGCAATAGGAGAAGTCTTATTCTATTAATATGATTTTGCTTTGTGAGACACATTCACACACTTGCTAAGCAGAGTGCATCTTATATATAATAAATGAATGTTAGCTAATTTAAACTATTATCCTAGGCTTCTGAGAGGACTTATTATTTTTCTCAATGCTAAAGTCTGGCCTACAGATTCCTGTGATTTCTGATTGATAAGAGTTTATGAAGATAAAAGTTATATTCATTTTATAGCAGCAATAAAGCAATACCAAAATATTTATTTGAGCTCAATAGTAAGAGAGAGCTCTACCCGTATATATTTCTGTATATACACAGACACACAAGTATTGTGTAAAATTTTATTTATAAAATATTATAATATTTTACAAGCATCTTGGCCAGTCCTAAATTATGTGTATCTGTTTTGCTTATTCTTCTGGCTTTTCTTTCTAGGTACTGGCTATCGTGATGGATATTTTCACTGACACCGAGATATTCTGTGATGTGCTAGAGGCTGCTCACAAACGAAGTGTTTTTGTCTTCCTGTTGCTTGATCACAACAATATAAAGCTCTTCACTGAGATGTGTGACAAAGTGCAGATTACTGAGGATCACTTAAAGGTATTGCTTAAATCTCAGGGCTCACATATGCATCTGTTACCTTGTTTGCCCCTCAGGTGCCTTCTAAGTTCAGGGTCACAGGCATTAATTTGAAAGACAATAAAACATTTTGACATACACCTTTTTAATACACCTTTTTATTTGAAAGGTCATTCCTTTAACTCAGTGAGTATTGCCCATTCACACAATTTGCGTTCACTTATTTTCTTCACTCCACTTTCTTTTGCATAGCCAGACTGTCTTCCCAAAACCACACCCTATGTTTCTAAATAAATTGAAAACAATTAATTTCTCCCATACAGAAAAATACATCTTACAGATTCTGGGCTCTGTCTGTGATTTGTGATTAAAAGAATGTATAGAAATTAGAAATATCCTGTTATAAAATTAAAAGAACTTGAGAAAAACTCAAATTTTCATGACTGTGTTTGAATTTCTGAAAAACACAAAAGCCAGAGAAGCTCAAAGAGCATGGGACCAAGATTTTTGTTATGAATTTGCTTTCTGGTTTGGGTATTAAACAGGCTTTAAAATATATATGAGCTAAACTATGTTCTCCTACACTTAGCCAGTTAATACTATTAGTTTACTTGTGTCCTGCTTTGAAGACTTACACACATGCTTAATTTAACACTGCAAGCAGTCCTGTAGAGTCCTTGGCAGTATACAATTACGCATGGATAAGTCTTTGCAGAATCAGGACCTAGGAAGGGCAGTGGGATTTAGCCCCGCACACTGCTACTCTAGAGATGACATGAAAGAGCCTCCACATTTGGTATAAATAATTCCCTGCAATTCAGTCGAGCTACACTGATTTATACCAGCTGCAAATCTGACCTTAGAGATCAAATTCTGTTCTTGGAAATGGGCATGCACCTCCAACTCTTTTCAGTGGGTGCTCTGTAAGTATTATGGATAGATCTTACATAGTTCCATTTTGGATAGAAAAAACTATAGTTATACCCCAGTTTGTATGACCGTTAAATAAATAGCATTACATCAGGTGAAAATGTCTTCTTGAGATTTGTCCTAAGTGCCATCCTGACTTTGAGTTAAAATATACAATATGAAATCTTAGCACAGGAGGGGACAATTACAAGGCATCTCCAGTGATCTTAACAAGGGGTGGTGGCATTTAACACATACTTGTTGTGCTTTTTTCTTTGTTAGAATATTTCAGTCCGAAGTGTTACCGGAGAGATTTATTGCGCCAAATCAGGCAGGAAATTCTCAGGGCAAATCCAAGAAAAATTCATTATATCTGACTGGAGATATGTTCTCTCTGGATCGTACAGGTGAGATCAACTATCACGATTTCTTTCTGAGATTAATTGTGTTACTATGGTTTCAAGGAAAACACCGGTATTTTTAAACACATGTAGATGATAAATTTTGTATCACTGAAAGTTTTGTTGGAACCAACATTTATTTATAAATCTTTTAGTTTTGAATACCTACTGCTTCACCAGGGAAAAGGTGTTAAGAAATCAACAAGCTCTACAGCTGGTGTATTATCTTTGCCGGGGCTGGTACTTACCACTTCAAAAGTCCAAGGCCAGTGTAAAAAATATTGCAGAGCAAACATATAGCAGAACTAGTAATCTGTTAATATTGGGCTTATCCTGTTTCTCAGAGCATTGAAAAATTATCATCATGAATCATGTAGCATATTTCTATCACCAGAGGGATCTCTTATTGCAGGAGAAGTTAGTATTTCACTTTCTGTCTGGGGTACCTCTATATAAAGGAGGAAGTTCACATTTAGAAGGAAAGATTCCTGTTATGTGGCATACAGGAAAATGTGTACCTTCATTTTCTGTGAATTGCACCTTTGGTACCTTACTTCAGCAAGGGATGTTATTGGGTTTTTAATGACCAAGTATTAGAGTGACAGACCACATTATACTTCCATTATGCAGTGTTGGTCACATGCAATATTATTGTAAGCCTCAGTATTTGGAGTTTTAACTACAGCCCCAATGATTGGGCTCAGGAAAGTGCTGGAAAACTTAAGCCTTCTTGTAAAAGTTTTTCTAGTTCTAGATCCAGTAAGATTTAGGTATCTAGAGCTTAGAAACTGCCTGACCCCCAGAGTGCAGAAGTGGATATTTGGGCTCGCCATGAGAGAGAATTAGGCACCTCAGAAGGGTGATCTGAAAAGCCTGAAGGCTGAGCAGGGAGCTGCCTAGAGCTAGCCTGCAGGAAATTCAAAGCATCAGATTGCTAACTCCTGCCGTCCAAAGCTTGGACACCTCTCTCCCCTCACGAACCGGAGCCCAGAGTTCTCCCCTGCGGGTAATACCTGCAGCCGTCCTTTCAGAGAATGGATCAGGGCTTGGTGTTTCTGTTCGAACATGGCAAGACTGTGCCACTGCCCAACTTTTACACAACAGCCTTGTGATAAGACCACTTGCCCAGGAAGTGACACAGCTGGATTTTAGGCTCTCCTCCACCAGAGGCGATTCCAACCTCCATATCAGCATATAACTACTCATGCACAGGCCTGCAGGTACGCACACAGACCTGCAACTGCAGGCAGCTGGGGAGCTCTCAGGTCAAAGAGGGAGGGGCCTAAGGAATTTAGGGGGGTTCCAGGTCAGATGACCTCTGAGCAGGGGGTTTTACAATTGCAGTTTCAAACTTTGCCACCTAACATCTGCCTTTGTTTGGTTTTAGCTTTGACCATTTGCCCTCACAGGAGGACATTTATATTCCCTTAAATCACTGGTTCCCAATCTTGGGGCCTGAACCCCAAGTCAGGGTCATGGGGGGTCCTCAGTAGGGTTGTGAAGGGCCCGTGCACACGTGCACAGGCACACACGCGGCCCAGGAGTGGTGGGTGGGT